CCGAGAAATACAAAATACACACAAATGCCATGCTATGCATACAACCCTCCATCTACTCATCCCCTTTCCCCTAGTATAGAACAATCAAGAACGAATGTCCCTTGCTGTGGCAAAGGCTCTCATTGCGAATAGAAAATACCCGTCCCGTCATCTCTCATCGTACACTGGCATGCCCTTGTCCAGAAATCATACCTCAAATGCTATCCCGCGGGTCGATCTTCCGACAGTCTTGAAGGACTGGTACTTCCCATCTGCTCCCATGGTATCGAATCTATGCATTCCCATGTAATCGACTGTGAAGCCACTAAAGTAATATCCCATCACCACCACAAGATACGTGAGCATCAGAACGCTGCCCTTGAAATAGTTGCTCTTCCCCTCGCTATATACGTAGCTAAGAAGGAACACGCAAAGAATAACAGTCACCATATCCCACTGCGGGAAGAGCAACGAGAAAGTATAATCGGTAGCTTCGCTTCCAGGTGGAATGTTGGGATACAGCGCTGAGTAGAGGACCAAGCAGGGAATCTGAAGCAAACACACTTGCAGAGCGTAAGCCGAACCGATTTCCATGGAGAGGGCAATGTTGCCGTTCATGGCAAAAGAAATGGCATTCTATATCACGATTAGCAATTTGACGGCATTCATGCTCTGGTCCATGTCACTTACCAAAAACTCGGTTGTATTGGGGACCAAGGCGAAGAGGGTTATACCCAGGAACTTTTGATCAATGGCGAAGCTCTCCAAAACGACATCGACAGTGTCAACCAGAATTTCAGCAATAATGGCGTATAGGATAGTAGCACCAAGCAAAATGACGGTACTCTTCATTCGGCTCCAGTTTGGCGCATCGTGTCCACCATGTCCTCCCGCAGGTGCGGTGTTTGCGCCAGCTGTAGCGACGTCTTCTTCGATATCGGGGAGTCCGCCGGTTCGGCTGGGCACATGAGGCCGGGGGGTTACGGGGACAGTGCCAGAAGGCTTGTGAGAAAATCGATCGCGCGAAGCGATAGTGGCTGCAGCTGCAGCTATCTCAGCTACCTCGCGAACGAGCATGTTGTTGTCGGCCTGGCTTAGGCCTGGAACCTTGATGAATTGATGGTGATGCTCATCGTCCAGGGTCTTGGGTGGAACAACATGTGGCGTAATCTGTCCATTTGCACCAGTCATATCATGGGCTGTTGTGGCCGTTATCGACCCCTGACGAGAAATATCTTCGGAGCGAGGTGGCAAGCCTACTTGCTTCAATGACTGTCCCAAAACACGCTTGTACATGCGAGAATCGCGAATATCGGCTGTAGCACCGTCACCCACAGATGGCTGGGAGGTTCGAAGAATCGTCGAAGCTCCAAGGTCATCGTGGCGCTTCTCCTCGACTTCGGCGTTCCAGATGACAGCAGCGTGGGTTCGTAGAGTAAACCATAGACCAATGAGGTAAGAAAAGAAAAGCATCGTCGCGGCAAAGTAGCAGTATGGACGGACGGCCTCAAGGTAGAAGCGATCATCGAGCTCGGGTGTTTGCGAAAAGTAGCAGCGAGAGCAATCTCTCCCCATAGTATAGCCAGGATTTCTATGGTCTTCACAGCCTACGCATTTAATTTCATGAGTGCCGTAAATCTGGTAGAAGAGCGTGGGGCCAAAGGCACCGACAACAGCAAACAACAGCATGGTAGAAGTGACGCCGGCCGACTTGGCATTGAATCGCTGCGTCTTTCTCTTGAGAGCACCAAAGCACATGGAAATTCCCGGCAAAAACAGGATACCGGCGAATATACTACCAATGACACTTCCCTCAACAAGCTGCGCCTTGCCTTGTCTCAGCGCAATACAGTAGAGAAAGACTTCTACGACGGTTGCAAAGAGAGCATTGATGGCAGCGCCAATTCCCATGGAGGACTGGGCCGAAATGGATGCCACCGCCTGTCCGATAAAGTACGCCAGGGGAATGATGGAAAGCAAGCTGGCCGTGAAGAGAAATGCCGGCTCCGTAATGAAAGTCTCGACGTGTAGGATTCGCTCGAGAATGGCCCAATCGGCAATGACAACAACCACCACAACCATGAGGTTGATGAGGAAAATGTTGGTTCCGTCAACGGTGTATTTCCAATACTTGGAGCCGACTGCGCGATATGTACAGACCAAAATGGACGAATCCGGGGCATCTTCTTCTCGCGCGTAGCCAATATGGGACTCGAACGACAACGCAAGCGGATGGCGCCTAAGGTGGGTAAACAAGAGAATAGTGACCTTGCCCATAGGAATCCAGAAGACAAGGAACCAGCAAATGCCAGAGACGATGATCAAGGCAGGCGAAATGAGAAAGTAGAAGAAGACAAAAAAGACGACTCGGCCTATGTTCCACTCTCCGCGACCAAACAGCCGTCTCTTCATCCTAGGTGTCATTTCCGTCTCGCTGTGGCGTCCACGACCAAGAAGGCTGTCGGTCTCGCTTGGCTCCGAGTCAATGCTTCTCCTCGAGCGCCCTATAATCGAGCGGTTCCGATCAGGACCAAAGAAGAGCCTTCCATACTCGAGATCGCCGTTCTGCCATTGCTCGTACTCGGAGATGCTTCTACCTTCGTCCTGGTCCTCATCCAAGTATGTCTCATCCTTTTCAAGACGGACAAACTTGCCAAAGGGGTAAAATAAATATCCTGCCAGGCCCCACAAGACTCTGCCATACTCACGCCCACTCGGACCGGCGGCAAAGAGGAGGCATATGATGGCACCGAGAGCAGCAACAAAAGCCATCCACCATCCGAATACAAGAGTCCAAACAAGATTGAAAAGCAGAAGCCAGCTGTTCACTCTTCCACCAGGTGAAGAGTGGATATCTGCTTGCGCAAACTTTTGAATCGATCGGTCCTTCTTGTACAGGGCCGGCTTCCAGACTCTGATACCAAAGGGGTGGGTCTGGTTGATTGCCTGCTGTCGGTCCTTGAGGGTAAAGCTTTCAGCGTCGCTAATATCTCCGTCGGATTCGCAATCCACATGTTCGTCAAGAGGAAGCTCCTCTTCGTCATCGTCGTCCTCGTCTTCGTCGTCTTCATCGCCGAGCTGGCTTGGGGCAGCATCTCGTTCGGGTTCGTGCTCGCCGTCGACGCTACGATGCGATTGTATGCGCACAAGGTTCGTGGCAGGTTGACGGCGACGTATGGAATAACCTGAGCGATGTACTGCCGCATCGGCCACGACCTCGTGGGCTTCATCGTCGACTGAGAAGACCTCGCCTCTGTGTGGTGTGGTTGCCGAGGTTCGTCGCGACAGACCGGGTCGGCGTAAGCGAGAGATCGATTTGGCTCTTTCCAGGCCCGCTGTAGAGGTAGAGCGAGCTGCCGAAGTACTGCTCTTGGACTGCTGACGATCTGTTGAAGCTTCGCCGAGGATTTGACTGCCCCTCATGTTCGGGTTCGTTGGAGTCTCTGGAATCTCTGGAATTGTGTCTAGCAAAAGAGAAAAAGAAAAAACTCGGTTAGTACCATGTTGCGCCGTGTGGGATGTGGGAGGACAACGCACCATAACCTTCGGGCCTGCGTCGTACAGTGTCTGTGGACTGGAAGCTTTCCGACAAGCCATTATCGTCGCGGACAGCAGCAGACGGGATCTTCGGTAAGGCGGGAGGCTTTCGTGTATCTGTTGGCGATGTCATGCCAGAAGAAGCACCAGAGCGTTGGCCTGGTGGCGGCGCGTCTTCTCTCTTGGAGGGCTCCATGCTGCCTGCTTGAAGCTGTGTGAAGCCAGCTACTCGAGGGTCCTCGATATTGGCAGCAATGGGTCAAGCGGAAGGGGAATAAGTGAGTAAATAATAGGCAAACAAGCTACTTGTACCAAGTGCTTAGCAATAACAACATCCAATCGTGCACACCCTTCCTTCATGCCCTTGTCTGGGGGCTAGCTAGCGAACTATGTGGTGGAGGGGCTTGAGCACGGGGTCAAGGTCAAGGGAGATTTTTTGTCGATCGCGCGTCCTGGGGGCGCAAGCAAGGGTGGATGAAAAGAATGAAATGAATGAGTGAAAGGAAAGGAAGCAAAGATGACTGTGTCCTTTTTTCTTCTTCTTTTTCTTTCCTTGTCTTCCTGTTCAAAAACGGTGAGGAATCGGTCTTGTCTTGTTTGTTTCTTGTGCTTCTCGTCTAGACTCGTGCTTGTCTTGGACTCGGCTTGTTCAGAGGCTATGTTTTTCAAGGGAAATATCTTGGCAAGCGTAAGAAAAATTCATATTGCATAAGGTAGAATAACATGGAGTCGTCAGCCAAGGAAGGTATTGCATACACAGCCAAGTTAAGCGACGTATGCATTGGATGGATGAATGTCAGAACGCACGCAATAAATTAGTAGGTACACACCTACTGGCACCTACCCTCTCCTCTCAGCAAGCATGTACTTGGTACGGAGTAGCATTGGATGCAATGTTGACAGTGGAAGTGGAACTTTCCCCAGAAAGAACACAAGTTCCTTCCTTCCCTGCTTATTTAGCGGCACGTTCCAGTTATCAGTCAGTTATCAGGGAGGAAAGAAGGAGCCTGAACTCAACATCTCCCTTCTTATCAATAAGGTAGAACTAAAAAGGCTGAGCTGACCGAGTCTAGTCTAGTGGTGGGAAGGATGATGAGTATGACACATCCAGGGCAACATAAACATTGACTATGAACCCCCTCTTCGTAAAGGGAGGGAGGAAAATAAAACCGGGCGGCCCGTTGCGATAGCACTGCTGAAAAAGAATATGTCCGCCACAAGACTCGTGCTTGCGGCGTGTGATCTTACAAACCAGGTAGATGTGTTGTGATGTGATATGCAAGCCGCAATAGAGAAAAAAAGGTTAGTAAGTTGGAGTGCTGTAAACAAACAACAATATAGCAGTAACAAAGCTGTAAAGCAACCGAAGGTCTCGCTGCAAGACCCTCTAAATCACTCGAACACCTGTATCCAAAAAAATAAATAGACGTCCTTTCTCGGCATGAGTTGTCTTATGTAAAAAGATAGCAAAAATCAGGATTATAGCCAAGATGGCCGAGTGGTCTAAGGCGATGGTTTTAAGTGTTACTACTTAAGTCACCATTATCGAGAGATGCCGGGGTTCGAACCCCCGTCTTGGCAAATGCTTTATCTTTTTTTCTCCCCTCTCTAGTGATTATAGCAAGTGAGTGACTACTAATAGATACTGGCTACTATATATTTTTTCTTTCGTCTCTTTTTACTCAATTATGATCGTCGATCTATTTATTAGTGTCGTGTAAACCCATGTGAGTGTGGGTGATTGGGCTACGAGGTGGGGTGAAGGAGCAATCAAAATCACACCAAGGCGGCCCGTCGAGATGGCGCTGCTGAAAAAGAATATGTTCACAAGACTCGTGCTTGCGGCGTGTGATCTTGCAAGCTGGGCAACTGTGCTGTGCCGCGTTGTGATATGGTATGATATGCAAGTGTGAGAGAGTGTGTGTTCCCTTGGCTTTATTAAATTTGTGGACCCGTCGCAACGTCATTTGCTCATTGTTTCTATTGTGCACACCTTCATCATGCTGGACAGAGTCGGTTCGGCCGTTGGAAGTGGAACCCCCCAGAGCAAGCCCAAGCCCAAGCCAGTCCGAGACATGCATCCACTGGAACCTCTCATGATCCCCTCCCATTCCATGCCATGGGTTGGGGAGGCGAGCGAGTAAACGAACGAACCTGCCACAAATCATGACGAAGAATAGAAGCGAATGATGATATGCATCGAGCACTGAAGAGTCATACAGATGCGATATGAATCAAATATTAATACTATAATCTTAATTCGTATGCATAACACGAGACAATCTCCCCTCTTCAACCTGCAGCGTTACCCCATTTCATCATTCTCTTATCTCCCGTCTCTCTCAGCACGCGATATCAGTAATGTCACTACCTTACTTATTAATGTGGAGCCTAGCTACACCCCCAAGTGCCAAGTGCCAAGTACCAAGTACCAGATACCTTTCCATTTCCATTTCCGCCTCATCAACTTTCGGCTAGCCGGCAAAATGATTTTCCCTCTCCGACTACAGTTGCGCGCTGTTCCGTTAGGCGTGGCGGGATTACGAGCACGAGCTGTAGCCTTGTGAAGCTTCAACCTGGTCCCAAGCATCAACACCGATCCACCACACCAACGGTCCAACTCTAGCCAACGTCTTGCGCAACGCCCAACTTTCTCACAACCACCCTCTCTCCCTAACCCAAAACAACAACAAATCCCTTTTATACAATCTCCATCAGGAGCTTCGCCAAGATGGCGCTCGACGAGTACTACCGCAATAAGATCGAGGCGATGAAGCTGGAGATCCTCAAGGGTCAAGCTGCCCTCCGCCGTCTCGAAGCCCAGCGCAATGACTACAACTCCCGGGTCCGGTTACTCAGAGAAGAGCTGGGATTGCTGCAGCAGCCGGGCTCCTACGTCGGTGAAGTCGTCAAGGTCATGAGCACTAAGAAGGTTCTGGTCAAGGTGCACCCAGAGGGCAAATACGGTTCGTTGTCATTGACAGGCTTGCTTCTCTGCCCCGCTAACAATTCGATGCAGTTGTTGATGTATCCGATAATGTCGAGATCGCAAAACTCACACCCGGAAAGCGAGTGACGCTCTTGTCTGATAGCTACAAATTGGAGAAGATGCTGCCGTCATCTGTCGACCCTCTAGTATCGCTCATGATGGTCGAAAAGGTCCCAGACAGCACATACGACATGATTGGTGGTCTTGATCAGCAAATCAAGGAGATCAAGGAGGTCATCGAACTCGGTCTGAAACATCCCGAATTGTTCGAGTCCCTAGGTATTGCGCAGCCAAAGGGTGTCTTGCTCTACGGTCCCCCCGGTACCGGCAAGACCCTCCTAGCCAGAGCTGTAGCCCACCACACTGCCTGCAAGTTCATCAGAGTTTCCGGTTCAGAGTTGGTCCAAAAGTACATTGGTGAGGGTAGTCGAATGGTTCGAGAACTCTTCATCATGGCACGAGAACACGCACCCTCAATCATCTTCATGGACGAAATTGACAGCATTGGTTCTTCGCGTGTGGAGGGTTCATCTGGTGGAGACTCGGAAGTCCAGCGAACCATGCTGGAACTGCTAAACCAGTTGGATGGTTTCGAGCCCACAAAGAATATCAAGGTCATCATGGCAACCAACCGTCTCGATATTCTCGACCCTGCGTTGCTACGACCCGGCCGTATCGACCGAAAGATTGAATTCCCTCCACCAAGCATTGAGGCCAGAGCCGACATTCTGCGCATTCACAGCCGCAAAATGAACCTCACTCGAGGCATCAACCTCACCAAGATTGCCGAGAAGATGAATGGCTGCTCGGGAGCCGAGCTCAAGGGTGTTTGCACAGAAGCGGGCATGTACGCTCTCCGTGAGCGGAGAGTCCACGTCACACAGGAGGACTTTGAATTGGCAACAGCCAAGATTCTTAACAAGCATGATGATAAGGAAGTATCCCTTGGCAAGCTATGGAAGTAAATTGGGTACACAATTCGGTGTAGAGGTGTGTGTCTAGGGCTTAATAGACGGGGCACTAGCTGGGGGGTTTGGAGTTGTAAGGATAATACAATTGTACCATTATGCATCATGATGACCTTGGCTATCATACGTCTTGACTCTACGTACGCTGACCACATGTGAAGGTTGGTGGACGGTGTCACTAGAGCTACTACGCTCTCAGGCTCCTGGATCAAAAAATAAAATCACGTTTAACCTGGCACAAAGGGGATGCCTTTCAGAGGACCCTGGTTTTATTCCACATTCAGTAGCTTGAGTTAACATCTCTCTCTCTCTCTCTCTCTCTCTCTAGATCAACGGATTTACCGGGACGAGAGCTGGTCTGCTTCTCCTTGTGGAGAGAATACACCATGCATGCCAGTATATCCCGACGACTGAGCAGGCTTCCAGCCGCTCTTGGCTAGGAGCTCTTTATCCTCGAGTTGAAAAACTTGGACATGAAGCGGGCGGCAGCATTTGATCATTTCCTTTTCACTGTCGCTTCCGAAACCCCACAGCGATAGGTCGCCACCGGGGCAAGTGCCTGTTCCCATTTGTCAGTCCGGAGAAACAAAATCATTACCAAGAAATTCTTATTAAACCCACTCAAGGCCATTAGGAGATCCTGCTCCGCTAGAAACTCTATCGAATCGCCCGCCTCTGCCGGACACGGGCCCATAAAGTACCTCCCCTGCTCGTCCAGCCCCGTCACCTGGAACAGGTTGATGACGTCGTGGACATCCCGCTCGTCAAGGCCAAACGGCGCCACAGCGCGGGCGAGGTTCGAGTGGCAGTGGAAGTTGTACTGCCCGCCGCCGTTGCCGCCGCCAGAGAGGATGTTGTTGATGTACGGGTCGCAGCGCGTGCCGAGGAGGTCGTGGACGCGCCCGCCGTGGGGGTCGACGCCGTACCAGGAGAGGCTGTCGTGGATGATGGTGGCGAGGGGTCGGATGTAGGGGAGGGAGGACCAGAGGCGGTCGTTTGTGGTGAGGTGGGAGGAGTGGAGCTGGCGGGTTCGGCTGGCCCAGAAGCGTTCTCGGGGGTTGTGAAGGTTCCAGATGTTGAGGTCGCCTATATTTCCATGCCGTGTATATGTGTAAGTAGACGGACTTGGGAGATGTTTTGATATGTGATACTACGGGGATAACGGCTACTACGTGTAAAAAAAAAATAAAAAAAAACTACGGGGAGTACATGTACCCCGACCAACATCCCATGATGTCTTATGAAGAAGAAGAAGAAAGAGAGAATTCTGGATGAATGTACAATGACATACCGACCTGCGGTCCCTGGGGCGTGCTGATGCTCACAACCGCTCCCGCCGGCACTCGCCACGCCCTGCCGGATCTGACAGGCAGCGTGAATTCCTCGACGAGCAGACGGGGGGCCCGTTGGATCGCGGCGTACAGATCCTTGTCGACCGTCAGGGGTGATCCGGCCGTTGAGAGGTAGGCAGGGGGAGGTTTTGGGTAGGTCCTCGGGGTCCTTTGCCGCCGCTGTTCCTGGTGTTGTTCCTGGTGTTGCTCATCAACCGTGACGCCACGTTCAGGGTAAGACATGATGATGATGATGATGATGATGACGAATATCTCTCCGTTTCTATTCGTGATGAAAAAGACAAACAACGGGGCTTTGTGTTCTATACGGGATTCTAATTTCGTCTATAGAAGGGAGAGGGGTTGTTGTTGTGTAAGATGTGTGTAAGGTGGGGGGAGGTTCGGAGGAATAGTAGTCACTGATTACCAAGACTGACATATAGAAAAGAAGAAGAAGAAGAAGAAGAAGAAGAAGAAACGGTGTTTAAGAGACTTGGCAATATTTTCTTACTTGAGATTAATATCGTAAAATGTGCAAATCTACTTGCTTGCCTGCTTGTCTGCTTACTATCACAACCCGCCCATAAGTCCGAAATTAACAATCCCGAGACAAGTCCCTTATTCCTTTCCTTCTACTTGTAGACTCTTTCTCTTACTCCCCCCCCTCACTTTGCCCTCTCGATCTAGTGAATAATAACTCTTCCAAATCCTTTTTTCTTTCTCTTTCTTTTTCTTTTTCAAATCTGAAGTTGAACAAGTCCGAGGTCGGAAGTCCGAATGGGGCATAATTGTTAATCCGACGTCATGAGTTGTGAAAGAAAAAAAACCCTCCATTAACCCCCAGTTCTAGATGCGGGGGTAGGGATGAGGAGGAGGAGACCGTTGAACGGCTCCACATATCAAGTTCCCCATTTTTAAAAGGACTACCTAGTAATTTATTCATTTTTACGAAGAGAAGAGCCATAATTTCGGCTTTAGCATTTTGTGTGTATGCTTGTATGTATATGGGTGTGTGTGTGATATGATGTGATGTGGTGTGCAACGGGGTTTAACTTATCAAAGGGCGCGCGCGGGCGCTTGTCGTTCTCGTCGTCCACCTTTGGTTTCATTAGAAATCGTGATCAGACGGACCGGGGGGTTCCCATTGGTGACGTGACATTTTCAGTGTGTGATGGAATTCTCCGCCTTGTTGCCAAGAGGAAACTATCTATTTCCAACCATGTGGCAGAATAATCTGGACCGCCATAGGGTATGCCTCTGATGTAGATGGCTATCAATGGACTGAGTACTAGA